CTTCCAGTGAGACTCAGTCATCTGCCACAGGGATTTCAGAATATAAGGACGAAAAAGATTTCCCGCATCTTTAATTGGGATCAAGTCAGGATTGCCTTCTCCCCAAACATCTGCATTCCCTTGTTAAATAGATTTCACCAGGCTGGCAGCCCTGCTCTGCCCCTCTCCTGGAAGAGGAAGAATCGCCTGAGGCTTGTGATTCACATCATCTCTGTGCAGGACCATGGGAAATCACATCTGACAGCTGCAAGAGGGGAAGTGCAGACCCCAAGGAATAAATCTACGGGAGAGTAGGCAGTAGCAGTGATCAGGCTTGTCAAGTATAAAACCTCTCAGAGTTCAAAAAAGGTTGAGAGGAGAAGAAAGAGGGGGAGGAGAAGATGCGGGGGGGTGTGAATTCCTTGCTGCCGTGTGAGGCAGTCCACCAAAGAGTGGGCTTTGGGGTACTCAATTGTCACTGGTGAGCAGCCATGGAAAAGGTCAGGTAGGAATTGTATGACAAGGGCACAAGCACAAATCAACAGAAAGAAGGGTCTCACCAGCTGCCTGTGTGGCAGGAGAGAAACAGGAGCAAGATGCTCCTGGAGCTAATTAAAGGAGCTCTCTGCACAAGGCAGATGCCAATCTTCCTGAGTGACAGCCAGGAAGGGAAGAACATACGGCAAGAAACCAAGCTGAATGAGGGAAGAGAAGGAGTGAGATGAGCAGAGAGAAAAAAATGCAGCTTCCCAACAAAAAAGGAGTGAGAGGCTCCTCTCCCTGGGGTAGGGCATAGGACCCCTCAGAGGTACCACAGGGCACAGACTGCTGGGGCCACCAGAGGTGTTACTTAATCCCAGACCGCCTTTTTTCCACCACTGGAACACAGACCACTGCTCTGACCACTCATGCCAGCTCCAAAGCCCACTGGAGAGATCTCCACTGGCTTTTCCAGTGTTTCAGTCAGATCCTTCTATTTTAAATGAGTACCTGGCCAGAACTAGTAAGAATTAGTAAGGCAAAGCAACACATGCCAGCTGAGTCTGACTCAACAGACCAGAGCGTTAAGCACAGCCAAGCAAAGCCCTTTTATAAGGCAGTATACATTTTGTTGTTTGGGCTTTTTTCTAAAAACAGGTGCATCAAAGGCAGTCACACAGTTGCTGTGACAGAGAAAATGTCTGGGATTGATGGGAAAAGGCAGGAATGGGTTGGCAGCAGGTTTTACCTGGGCAAAGAATGAAGGGGTCTTTAGCCTCACCACCAGACAAGGCTGATATGTGAAAACAAACATTTTAAAATAAAATCCTATTAACCACAAGAAGCCACTGCAAGTATGCATGAACACTGCACCTACAAGACAGACTGAAAACACCTAACTGCTCTGATTCCTTCATGGATTTCTGTTCCAGTGTGTTGGACTGAAAAGATAAGACTAGTCCATCTCCTGATTAAATACTTGAAAGCTACCTATTTTTTTCAGAGGTGTTGCTTCAGATAATCAGGAGAGGCTGACAGAGGATGTTTTCAAGCATTTTCTTTTGTCAGTTTCTTGACCCATCAGAAGAGAGAAATTGTTTTGCTTCTGTGGCAAGTCTCTTACTTGTCTCCTTAAAAGTGTCTATTTCAGAGTTAAGGAAAAAAAGCAAAATGAAAATGTCCTGAAAATTTTAAATAAATTTCTTATGAATAAAAAATATAAATAAATCGTTTATTTATAAATTAGAAAGTGGTGGTGTGTCTGAATTTCCAATGCTAATTTCAGCAGCAATTTCATTAGCTTGTAAATAAACTTTAGAGCAGTGCTACAGTGAAAACACAATTGCAGTCAGAGAATATGATATTTTACCAGATGTACCCTTCACTCAAGGAACGGATATTTTCTGGAAACCTTGAAGAACACTCTAGAAAATCTATTTTGTATATCAGCAGGTGGTTTTAAAGAAATTATTAACAGCTTATTTGGTTCTAGCATCCTCTGAAGAGCAGCTCATACTAAAAAACCTACTCCTTATTTCTGATCAAGACTTCACACTCTCAGAATTGACCAGTCCTGTTGTCCTGGGGCGAAAGGAGCACAGCTGAGTAGATTTTTCACAAGACACGTTAAAATGTCGTGAGTTTGCACGTTGTTAGTGTCTCTATTAGACTGGTCACTCTCTAAGTAAGCTTAAAATAATAAGTCTTAATTTCTACCAGTAATTCTACTACAAAACTGGCACTATTAGGTTGGAGCTCAGAGCCATCAGCAACAGATGAGGGGTTTTGTTCTCCATAACTCTTCACAGAGTTACTACCTGCATTTCCTTTGAAATTCCCAGTGTGTTCTGGAAGAAATGAAACTTTACTAATTCAGAACAATTCAGACATTAGGACTCTTAATGGACCACAAAAAAAGAAAAAAAAATACATTTACTCTCTTCAGTGTTCCAAAGGATAAAAGAAAAACTACTGAGATCTCAGCTTCAAGACCAGACCCTGCACATCTTGCACGCAAAATGAGAATTCCTGCTGAAACATCTTAGCAGTTAGCCAAAGAAACAGACCCAAATATGTATTCAGGCACTACTGGAGTACAATGCCATAGCTACTTCCACATCAGCTTCTACCAGGGATTTATGTAACTCATTAAGCAGATTTTCAGGAGAACTGAAGACTTCCTGTTCACTTCAACTACATGAAGAATCTGCCTACATGAATAATTTCCCCTCAGTGGTGACCCATTAATCTCTCCTATAATATGAAATGTGTAATTCTGAACCTTCTTAATCTTCACTGTGGAGTTTTGCAGAATTTAGGAGCCTTTAGGGCACATCCTCGGGACAACAGTCTCAAGAAACTTTGGCAGAGCATCAGTTTTCTGTGAGTGTGTTTATACAAACCATTTCAAACCCTTAAAAATTCCCAGCTGGCACTGCAGGCAACAGCCCCAGTATCAAAGGGATCCAGAACATGAACTGCAGGATTTAAGACTCTTCCATTTCAAACAGATTTTAAATGGATGAACATCAGTACTGAGGATGTGCCTATTTGGGAATAGATTTAAGGATTTCCATAAAATTCTTTTTGCTGATGAGGGGCAGGACTTGTCATGATTCCACACTCCATTTCACAGGCTGAGATTTCAGACTGGTTGAATGTGGGATTTTTCAAGGAGTGAAGACAAAACTGTCCTTCACATTTCTGAAATCAGGAGTGTAACTGGGACAGAGCTTTTCAGTCCCTTGAAGAGCCTTGATTAATATTTTATGACAGAAAACTACAGCTGGGAGTGAAAAACCTGCTCTTCGTTGATAAAACACTGAAAATTCAAGTTCTGTGCCCTTTCCACTGAAAAGACCACCTTTAGCAAGAAGAAAACAATGAGAAATAATTTCCAGGGCTGGAAATAATTTTTATTTGTTTCTTTGTTTTGAGAAGGGGGGGGGGGTTGGGTAGGCAGGGGTGTTTCTTATTTTTTGGTTTTCTTCTGGTGAAGGAAGACTGTTAACAAATTCCTTCCATTGCAGACACATAGAAATGGCAGAAAAGCTGTAGACTGGCTTCTGGACACCTGAGAGGCAACTCAATAGCCTAAGAGGCATCATGAGACTAAATGAAAATTGTTGCTGCTCTTTCTGTAGCCCTGGCCCATCCACCTCAGCTTTAAGCCAAAGGCAGGTGAGAGGAAGGTAAAGGTCTGCAATGACCAATTAGCTTGTGTTAATATGCAAAAGTTCAGTAGGATGCATTGAAGAAAAAAAAAAATCATTTCTTTAGAAAACTTCCCTTTTGAGTTTCCAAAAATCAATGTTCCTTTACATTCCCAAGCAGCAGCACTTACGTGCAAAGAGGTAAAGCGATTATTTTCAATAACCAATTCAAATCTTTACGTAGCCAGCACAGGGCAGGCTGATGTACCAAAATCATAAAAGCGACCCAGAAAAAGCACTCAGAACTAGGCAGATGCTAAATGTTCAGGAGGGCTGTTCCAAAATTTGCAGGGATTGAAACTCTTTGTCAGGCTTCAAACACAGTATGAGTCATGAGTAAATTTACACACCACTGACTCAGAAGAAACAAATTACATTTCCTGATATATGATGTCAGCTTGAAGGAATAAAAGTGCAAAAATGTATATACAAGGTTTAGCAGTTTCTTCTGATTTCTCTCAGGTTGTGTCCTGTAACATCAAAAAAGGCCTGTATTTTTACATCAAACAAAGGGGTGATCTAGGAACCAGAAACTCAGATTTAAGATCTACCATACACCAGTCAAATGCAATGTCACAAGGGTTACTGGAAGTGGAGAACAATTCAAGGGATATTCAACAATGGCGAAGAACAGACACACCCTGGTAAATGCTTTCTGAGCTCCTGGGGACAGTTTCTGAAATGGAATGTTGCATCCAGCCTTTTAGAAATCAACAGTTAAAAAGAAAATCAACAACAGAACTACCAGGGTTGCTACAACAAGAATCAGTATTTCGAGAAGGGGAGGGAAACACCTCCATTTATAAAACTTGAAGGAAAGAAATAAATGTATTTCTCCTGGCTCCCTGGAAGTGTTACTTACCAGCGAGTGGACTCACAGTTTTTGTCCCTGTATCCACAGTGGCCTTGGCTCTGATCATTCCTTGCGCATTTTTAATCAATACTATGCCAAAAGTCCACCACTTCAGTTCAAACAGCAGTCCTTAATGCCTGAAAATCCAACTTGCTGTTGATGTAAAGTTACCAATATTGGAGTGAGGGGTAATTATAAAAAATTTTAACAACAGCAGCTGAAATGTATGAGAAATAAATGTATTTGTTTAATTCATTGTTTTCACAGTGAGAACTGCAAAATAGTCTGTAAAATTTTTCTTGTTTCAGTTAAACTGAGATTATTCCCTTTGAGTTCAAGTGGGAGTGGATGGGGACCTGAATTTGAAACATTGAATCAGTTTTGAAGAAATATTATAAGGATTTTGATGGAATTAACACACATATGTTCAAAATGTTGCTGTGGTGTCATGCAGAAATGAAATAATGCAGCATGTGGACCGTGTAAAAAAAGCTTATCTTTTATTAATGAGTCTGTTAGTACCAATGTAGCTTATTTCTGTAGCACACAAATAATTTTAATTTGAATTTTCTTCTTTCAGGACCAGGGCAATGGAATGTCCCTGTTGCTCCAAAATGTGCATTCAATAAGGATTGCTTGGCTCACAGGAAACACAGCTTACTGGAAATGCACACATTTTTCTCTTTTTCAACCATGCCTTTATACATGGCACAAGGAGACAGAAACTGCAATTATGATTATGTTTTTTCTTCTGGTGCTTTTTCCACTAAGGCACCATTAACTCTTCATAAGGCTCATCATTCCAGTCCTATGATGAGCACTGTATTTCCTGTCTAATTCAATGAGTGTGTTTATCCTTTCAGACTCTTGCTGGCACCTGAGTAGAATTGTGATGATACAGGGGATACCTGGGGGAGTACAGTCACCTTCCACTGCCATGCAGGACTGCAACACTAAAAGTCACAGCAGAGGTAACTACTATCTGTGCACATCTCCCCAGAAGATTCTGGGGATAATACCAGTTGTGTCATGGTTTAAGAGAAGCTGATAAAAGGGAACAAATTTTATTTTTCTTGGCAATCTTTTTTATTTTTACCTCTCCTTTTCATTTTTTGCATTCTATTTTATTCTAAAGTTTGCCTCGTAAATCAGCAGGTATAAATTCCTATCTCTTGCTCAGGTGCTGAAAGGGCCACATGTGTCATTAAATTCTTCATCAAAAAAACCTGAACTGTTACACCCTGGAGGTTTGCAGTGATGAGTCTCTCAAGCACAAATCCACCTCAAAGCCAAGGGAATACAGTTGGGTTGGAAAAGGACATGAGTATTGAGGGATATGACTGGAGGGAATCTCTCTTATTCCAAACACCAAAGTTGTAAGAACCTCTCACAGCAATAGGGTTGATTTTGCCCATTTAAAACATGCAAGAAAATGACAGGTAAGAATTACCCTGACAGCACATCAGACAGTAACCAGAAGGATAAATGACCTCTGTGGGAGGAAGAAGTGCCTTTGTGTCCCAGGCAACACGATGTTCAGGAAGCACTGCTGTGCCTGGCTCAGCAGGGTGAGCATTTCACACCAGTGACTGACAGTCACTTTGACAGTCAGGCTGCCACTGGCTGGTGTCAGGTTTTAATTTCGCAACCCCCAGGCACAACAGCACTACTCTCCAGACCATGGGGAGCATCACCTATTTAGCACTGGCATCCTGAACTCTCTCTAACATCTGCCAGCATCTGTCCCCACCGGGTGCAAGGGGAGGGCATCAAGCTGGAGAGTGTTTTGCCACTCAGCAGGGAATACCCTGGTTTTGATTTGCACCTTCTCATGTTAACCTCACTCAGGTTCCCAGGCATTCGTGGTTTCACTTGTTTCCTTTATGAAACAGATGAAAGTTTGGCAGCAGTTGGCCACATGCAGCTGTGGCAAGTCCTTGAAAGGTTCTCTCTTACTTCTGGTTATGTGTCAAAGATGGGGAGTTTTTTTCATTCTGAGATCTTTCCTAAATCAACCAACTGCTTTGGGTTCCACCTGTGTGTCACTGCTGATGGCTCAGCAATATTTAATTGGTACCTTTCACCTTAATGATGCATCTTCAGCATCACTTGTTGAGAATCTCCAGAATCTCTGTTTCAAACTGCATAAACTTCAACATAACAAACCAAGAAATATTCACAAATGCCTACCTAATAACTAGGAGATCCTTGGACACCTCTCAAGGTGTTTAAAGACCATTGCAGTATAATTTCCAAAGATTACAAACAACTAACAATTAGTTCTATTATCTAAAATAAAACAGGCATAAAACATGCCTGCTAAATCTGTATTTGTAGAAGATTTTCTAACATGGTGGTGTTTGCATTACTTATAACCTAAAAGCACTATAGTTGTTTCATTACTGTGCTCTTCCTTGCTAGAAATCAGGGCCCAATTACGGCTAATTTGGAGTTCCCAAACTTTGCCTCTGAAGGAAGAAAGGACAAGTTTGAGGACCGCAGTGTCCTGAATGCTCAAAAGGAGCACTGAAAATCATATCACAGTATCTTTTTCACTGCTAAGGAGCTTCTACCACTTTGCTTACACAGATTTTGAATTATACACAGATTTTGAATTATAGCACTGGCTACCCCCATTCAGGTGAAATTCCCAAGGGAGACTGATGGGATTTGATAGAAATTAACCTTGAATTACAGGGTATAATGCTCATAATCCCTCTTTTGGCGTGCAGTTGAGCCAGGAAGTTAAGGGTAAGCCTTTGACCAGATGTCAGGTGCTCTTCCACTAGATCCTCAAAGTAAGCCTCCAGCTTAGACATAGGGAATTATCAGGATGCTGCTGTACTGGAGCCATGACTGTGGATAAAAACACAGCTTATGTGGCTCTGAAAACTCCAAAGTAGGAAAAGGAGTTTATGAGGACAAAGAGGAGGGGATGCGACTTGGAAAATAAAAAGAAAGCACATCCTGAGAAATAAATTTATGATATTTTGTCAAGACACAGAGGAACTATAAAATGAGGAAATATCTTGCCTTCTGAAAGAACAAGCAGAGATTTATATCTATACCTAAATACATATATATATATATATATATAGTATCTTTATTTGATTTCAGAGTATTCATTTTTGATTTTCTCTTCAAGATGTTGTAATCAGGATGAAAAGCTATGCATTTTGGCTTTTTGCTACAGGAATAAAGTCCCATAACATGAATCTCTTATTCACAATGGAATGTTTTTTATCTCAACTTGCTTCCCAAGGCATCTTCGAGATGATGATCAATCAATAAATGGTTAAACAGTCTGTTACCTACTTTTCCTTTCATCATCTGGTGAAAGACCTGCACCAACTACACATGACAGTGCCAGCAGAAGAAAATACCTCATTTCACTGAGATGCACATTGCTAAATATAGATTTTACCAAACTGCTTGTTTCTAAGTTCATAGGACTCATTCCCACTATTTCTCAGTGGTTCCTTCTCATCTCCCATGTCGTTGTCTTTCATCTGTGCAAAATAGGCAGGAGAAGCTTTGCACTCATAGTGCCTGTCAAGGGATTTGAGGTGGATCAGCATGTGAAGGGCATAGGCAAGGACCAGCAGCAGGATCAGGGACATGACCAGCCCCATCAGAATTGCTGGAGAGAAGAAGGATGCACAGTCCTTTGCATAGGCAAAATGTCCTTGCTGGATGTTAAAACCTTGGATCTACAAGGAGAACAAGAGAGATCATGTTAAATGAGGTACCTGTGTCTCATTACTTTGCTCATGATGGCAGTAAGAATTTCTAATTTAATACCTCCACATTGCAAATTTGTAACTCCCTGTGCTGGCTCAGAGTTTATCCATGTCAGTCTTCTAGAAACCACCAGGTATTCTAATCCCCTCCGCTCTGCTGCCCAAAGGATTTGTAGTTGTGTTTGAAACAAAATCTTCTCTTGATGGCCCACAATATTTAATTGGTGCCTTTCACCATAATGGTGTATTTCCAGCATCACTTGTTGAGGGTCTCCAGAGTCTCTGTTTCAAACTGCATAAACCTCAATCAGGAAATATTTTCAACAACAAACCAGGAAATATTTTTAAATGCCTATGCTCAAATTAGGTTTTTCTCACCAGATTCGTGTGTGTAATATTTGGCAGCAAAGCAGATACACTACAGGAATCTGCATCCAACTGTGGAAAACACCAACAAGTTTTACTTGTGGCTTCAACTCTAATATGAAGTTTACCACACTGGCATTCAGGGTATTGCGCCCGCTCCATTAAATCAGCCCATGGGCATTTATGACATGGTGAGAAAAGGGGACCAGTTTTCCTCCTCAGTTCCCTTTTTCAGCTTTTCATGCCCTATGACTTAGGTATGTAAAAGCAAGATGCTCTAGTCCAGCCATCTGAGACTCTCTCATTGCCAAACACAGAAAACTTGGCACTTTCAGAAGATTATTAATCTCATCCTAAAATAAAGACTTAAGACGAGTCAGAGGAATTATCCACTAGCTTTAGAGGCAGGCTGGGGTGACTATAATCAGGCCACAGGGTTAAAATTCCTAGGCATCAAAAGTTAAGTGAGATGAATCCTGTACCTGGTGTCTGATGCTGTTATTGATGCTGTGTTTAACAGCTCTGCTCAGAAAGATGCAACACTGGAAGTTAAATTCTTCCCCCACACTAAAGGGAACACAGTAGAAGACTATAGAAAATCTATACAGCCCTTAATTTCCTTTGACAGGGAGGTAAAGAAAATAGTTTAAGTCCTCATTTCAATTTTGTGTTCCACAGAAATCCCACAGACTGTACATAGAAGGTCATTATATTTCTTTGGCAGCAAAAGGCCAAAACTTCCCATCAATGTACCTACAGGTTCCCTTGGGCCTAATTCTATGACGTTACCTGAAAATCAATAAAAGTGACTTCCCAGAGCTGTGATAGGTCATTTTCAGAGCTGGGAATGAGGAGAGCATCGTATCTCTGCAGGCTGCTCACGTGGTCGCAGTGGTACGAGTAAGTTGCCGGGGCATGTATTTGGGTTGCATTGAACGTCGCCTGCACCGAGTGGTTGTAGAGCAGCTGCAGCCTGTGCAGGCTGAACCAGTTCTGAACAGACAGCTGGTAATAGCTGGTGGTCAGCAAGAACCTGGAAACATCATGTGGGGAGAGAGATGAGTAGGAAAACAAGTCAAAGTGTTCCACCTGTTGAATTTGCACATTGAACAATCTTAGGAGACCCCCTGGCTTCACCAGTTTATATCAGTATGAGCTCTAGATCCTTCCACAGAGTCTGGAAAGTGAGGAAGAGCTTTCCATGGAGGTGGCAGAGCCCTGGAACAGCTGCCCAGGGAGGGTGTGGAGTCTGCCTCTCTGGCAGACCCACCTGGACATGTTCCTGTGTCATCTGCTCCAAGTGACCCTGCCAGGGCAGGGGGTTGGACCAGGTGATCTCCAGAGGTCCCTTCCAACCTAAAAATTATGTGTTTTGAGGTTGTTCATTGTTGCAGCTGAAGGACTTTGCTCCTTGTTACTTGATCTCCCACACAGTAAGAGGATTTTGAGGGATTTTTCCTAAATGGTTGGGCAAAATATATTCAACAATGGTATTGTACTTCCATCCAAGGTATGGGAAGTTAATTATCAAGAAATTCTGTTTTCTGCTGTCACCAAGACGCAAACACAAAGCAGGTCACAGTCTGATGCCTGAACAGTCCACACTATCAGTTCTTGACATAAAATTCCCAAGAAAAATGTAGTAAATCAGCAAAGTTTAGCTAAAATCTCCAACATAGGAAGATTCTATACAAAAGAGATGACCCAAACTTTTCCCATTAATAGAAAAGTCAACAAAGGAGAAAAAATGCCTTAAAACAAGGCAGGTAAATGATAGACATACTGAATGCAGGTGTCTCAACTATGCAATCAACAGTTTCTATCACATTATTTTTGCTTAAACAAATTCACTTTAATTCCACAAGCAACTGCATAACAATATGCATTATCTTTTTTTGCCGTATAAACTTACCTGATAACTAGTCCCTTTAGATTGCCAATGTCCCCAAACTTCAGAGAAAGCCTAGGTCAAAGAGCAAGTTATATTAGGCTAGGAAAAAATTCAGAAATCTTCAGAGATTAAAGCAGCATTAAAGATTAAACTCAGTTATACCTGGAGCCTTTTGCTCAGTATACTCCTAAAGTCAGCAAGAAAAAAACCTGAAAGGATTAAATTTTCCTCCAGTGAAATCTACTAGTTCGCCTGCAGTTTGAAACGAGGTCCAAACTGTCCAGAAAGAGTAGAAATGTATGTTTAACTTCCAGCACAATGAAATCCCATTGCTTTCCACATTAGTTGACAATCAGGTTCAGTAGATTTCTGTTCTCGTTTTCAAGCCATGTCATCTCAGTCAAGTATCACCTCTGTATGTCATCAGAAAGTGTAAACACACACACTATTCTCATCTTTTTAAAGACCAGAGCATAAAAAACGCAGATGTCACTGGAGTTCAAATTCCACACATACACATCATTAGAGCCACGTAAGTACCCTGACTGTGAGGTCACCTGCAGTGAGCATGGGCACCTGAAGTTTGCTAAATTAACCTATCAGCTTAATTAATGCACATTAATTAATACATAAATAAGTGGAATATATTGTTTTATCACTTAACACTAATATTTTACATCTTGAAACCTGCAAAGAGATTCTCGTTGTCCACATAAGACAGAAACAAAACACAGTGAAAAAATACAGCATCTGAAAGACTTCCAAAATTAAAGCTGAAGAATATATTTTAAATAAATCCAACCAACCAAAACAAAACATCATACAAAATAAACAAAAAAAAGCCCAAAACAAACAGACAAAAAAAAAAAAATCCCTAAACAGCTAGCCCTATGATTTCATAGAAGATCTAGACTTCAGGACTTCTTGTACCTTGACTAACACTGGTCCAATAAACCAGGACACTGAATCCAGACTATCCCTTTCTTTATTGAAAAGGGAAATCATAATAGTTGAGGATTAGCCACAGGCAAATATGGCATTCAACTAAGAAAAAAATGCAGGTTGGATTATTATATGCCCATAGCAAATGAATATATGTTTGGTGTCTAATATTTGTTCCTGGCTCCAGCTACTTTGCACTGATTACACAGCATACACCAGCCTGAGAGACAAGAGAGTCTTAACAATGAAGGCTGGAGAAGGGAGAATTCTGAGGAATTTTTTCTGGTGTGAAAAAAACTGGGCAATTCACCAGGTGAGGGTTCTGCCATCAACTGTTTTAATTTAGGCTGGTCGGTCCTTAAAACTGAGATTACAGAGCAACATTCAGGGCAAGGTTTCCCCTTTCTTCTCTGCCACCAACACTGTTTCAGGCACAGACCCGAAACACAAGAGAATCATACATTATCTTTCTCCCACACAGAGTCAGGGCAAGTCCTAATTTCTTAGAAATCTGTATTTACAAAATGAAGCCTCTACAGTACTAAGACTACAGAGGTACCTGTGACAGACAGGTAGACAGAGTAACCTGCTTGTCTAACAGTCTCCAAATAGCAGCTCCAGAAGGAGTTTGCAGGCCACAAAAAAACATTGTCCTTCTGATTTTCCAGGTCTTATGAACAACTATAAAACTATTCTTTGTGTTTTGAAACCCTTAATTTTGCATTCTATTACGTTGCAAAAATTACTAATCAGAGTAAGATTATTTCCAAATTGTAGACCAGAAGAGAGGACGGAAGGTTTATTACTTTTTATTTCTAAAATAACTTTCTTCCATTCTCTACCTCTCTTTGACAGGCAGAGAGTAGGGAGAACTAATGTATTAGTTCACATGCTGATGGAACTAATGCATTAGTTCACATGCTGATGATACAATATTCAGACTGCCCTCGTTGAACATTATGATACTACAGGCAAAGTCCTAGTTTCTTTTTCAATTTTACTTTTAGTTTTCTGGCATTTCTCAGCAAAAATGTCTGTGCACCTTGGGTTATCCTTTCCAGCTGTGATCAGAAAGAGGAAGTACGTTCTGTGGAAACACATTTAGGTGTGCAGGTGAAATGCTGTATAGGATTAAATACAGACCCACATCCTGTACAGTACTGCTGGCACACCTCCTGTGAAGGGGTAAGTAGTCATGCACAGCCCAAAGCCCCTATATTCAGCATAGAACCCACTCTTCAGCCTCCCAAGCAATTGTCTAAAACAGCTGGAAACTAAACAGATCAGCAGCTGGAGCCTCACAGGCCCTAAGTGCAAAGCTGGCCGGCCCCAAGGAGCAACCACACCACTGCAACAGATGAGTACACCCATGTGACCCACGAAAGGCTGGATTCAAAGGATGTAACCCCTGCTGTCACAATGGCAGGACATTTAGAAAAGAGCCCTAGGGCTCTACAAGGTCAGTTTTCCTTCAGTATGTACTTCCTATACTTGCTATCTGGTACCAGCTACACTGACACAGCAGAATTCCACCTTACATTGCACTGTCTTCACTGCAGTTCGAGTCTCCAACATCCACTGTTGCATGGACACCAAATGTCTTCTCTGTCAAGTCCAGCTGAGTGTGGTTTTCAAGCCTGATCATGATCCTCTTGGCCCAGAAGAGGATGCAGGGGATGCCATTGACCGTGACATTGAGGGGGCTGTGGTGGCTGTGGGAGAACCGCCTCCAGAATGCTCCTTCCCACTGCCCTGCCCTGCTGAAGTTGTGACTGACAACCTGAGGAACCACACAAAAGATGGCTATCAGAAGGTGTGCATTTCAGGATTTGCTCTTCGTCCTACCAGAATAAATGAGGTTGTCTATCTGCAACACCTGTAAGAATTACTGCAACACACTGAAAATGACTCAGCTTGGGCCTAGGACACAGCCTACCATGCTGAAAGCACATCTGGGAGCTGTCCAGGTGAAAGAAATGCCCAAGTTTACACCTGCCTGCAGGTAGTTTGGCTCCTAATGGCTTTAAAATCAGGAAAACACCTACTGCAGAACAGGATGGCTCAAGTGTGGATCCCTAACTTTACAAAATCAGTTGCAGGGTTAAAACCTGAGGACTGCAGCATCCATGTCATCTGGAAAGATTAGAAAAATGCTATCCCTTCTAAGCTAAATTTCATAGCAAAAAGACAATTTGGCTGTCCAGCAATATAATTTGAGACAGTGACTTAGAGCTCTGAAAGAACTTAAAAATTTAACTGCCATTTCCAGATTTCAAACTGAAATTTCCAGACACCAGCTCTGCCCCACTTATGCACATCCTATTGGAATAGGGTAACACTCACAATGTCTGCATGGCTGTTTTTTCCATGTCATATGATTTAGCAAGTTCAAATGATGTACAAAAACAAGAGAGGTTTCTGAGTCCCGGTCATAAACAGCATCTTACCAGGCTCCAGAAGGGACACATATAAGCCACAAAGCTTTTTCTTGGCTTAAAGAGATTTTTTTTTTTTTTTTGTGCTGTTCAGATTAGCAAATCCTGTCTCTCAGCTCAGACCCTGAAAGATCGCTTTTGATACTGGACCTTATACACATGGCACAAGGGTGCTTTAGAATTAAAATTAGTAAGTACTGACAGCAACAAGCCCAAAGCAAATCAAGATCGTGGGCAGAAGATGTGATAAGTGACTATGACTGTGTTCATATAAATGATAAGGCTGTCTTCTCAGAAGTACAGATGAGGGAGATTTAATCAACATTTTACTTATGTCAGAGTGCATCACTTTTGGTGAGCTTCTTTTGGTAAGGAAGCCTTTTATGGTCAGTTTTTGACAAGACCTACAGCCTGGTCTCAGGAAAAACTCTCACTGAAAATATGAAGTTTTGCTACAGCTGTTCATTTAGTACCAAATGATATAAGTACAAGACTGGCCACAGCCGCCAAATGTCCCTGTATGGACTACGGACATAAGGATTTAGTTCTTTCAGAAAGACCCTATGCCCAAACCCATGACCAGTCAGCACAAGCAACAGCACCTGAAGTCTCACCTCACTCCTCAAAAAAGCAGAGGACACCTTGTACAGTAGGCAGTGAATCAGTACCATATCACAACAGTACAGACAGTTTCATTGGCTGTTTCTTGTAAACAATGTAAAAAGAGTTTAACTCAGCAATGTAAATTAAAAGATCTAAATATGCTATGAAAAGACTCTACAGATCCATTACCTGTGCAATTGCCACTTGACTGACATTCAGTTTTGGTCTCATGCCACCTTGGTAATGTTGACCTGCAGAAGAAAGAGTGTTATCAGCATTATTAGTATACTATAAACATCCAGTCATTTATAAAGGCATAATTTTTGCACGTTCTTATGCAAACAATAATTATCCCTGCACAAAATGTGTATGTGTGAATAGCTGATTCTATCTTGGAAAATACCTGACTTGTTCCAAATATTGTCTTCAATATTTGTCTTCTAGTTTACCTTACTTGTTCAAAACTTGTTCCTCTTCTTTTCACTGAACATCTGGGAGGAACTCCAGTGCCCCAAAATTACAAGGTTCAGTCCATATCTGTATTTATTCATCCCAAACACAGCAAAAGCTGCTTGTTTTCTTCGTACAGCAAACTCTGTCATCAAAGGGTATGTGTTGAATTGCATGACAAAAGCATCTTAACTGTGAATGGGAACTTCTTTCCATGCACCACCAGAGACAGGAAGATGTGACAAACAACCTGATGGCCCAACTGTTTGCCAGGAGGGCAAAGTTTCACAAGGACAGGTCATTTCATAGACATTCTCAAAGCTCTATCCTTCAAACACTTAATTCTGTTTTCATTTGATTAAAAAGTGAATGCTTTTGTTTTCCCCATTCTCACTGCATCTGAGTTGGACAGCAAATTATTTTTTTAAAACAGATAAATCCTTAAAAGGGTGTTTTTTAATGGGGGCTATGCTTTAACAAAACATATGTCAGAAGAGTCACCAATGCCTGCAGAAGCAACATCTGGGAATAAAACCTTTTACAGCCATACTAACAGAACCAGTATCCAGGGGTTCAGCCCACTGAAAGCCTTACCATTTCTTTGCAGAGAATCTTGATCTGAGAATTCATGTGAACTAGAAGAGAGGAGAAAAATACTTATTTCACACCATCTGGATTTAAAATCTGCATCAAGTTTACTGGGGACAACACCTGTTACTACTTTGTTCCATAAAACATTCAAAATGTAACTCAGGTACTTGGTTTGGTAATATCACAGGAACAAGAGAAATTAATCCAAACCTGCTAAGCCCAGGCTAAAAATGCCTAATTTTCAGAGATTCCTTGGGTGGATGAGGCTTTCCCTGCCCAAAAGGTTCCAAAAGGCTTTACCCTTACCAAAAGGCTTCTCTCTTGCCCTGTTCCACAGGACATTGGTTCTGGATTAGAGACAGAATCAGTTCCAGCCCACAAGCAGAGGAACACAAGGACCTTGCAACACCCTTGTTCTGCAGTGAGGATCAGAAGAAACATGTTTAATTCCCTCAGGATAGATCAATTGCAGTGGGCTAGCATGTCTTAAGCCCAGAATTACAGCCATTTGAAGACATGAATGATTCCAAGCAATACCAAATCCCATAGAAGTCAGCTGCATGGCAGTGTGGGCAAAGCACATCTCAAATGTCAACTACTTGGCTCATGAAATTTTCAGCATTTGATGTTCTTCTTAGTGTAAATCTCCAGCTGGTAAGGCCAGACGTGCCCCAGAGCCAATAAACGTGGAAATACAATTCCATGTTCTTCCCTTGCCTTGTTTCTTACTACTTTTCCAACCCACCACAGGAGCAAAGTTCTTGAAAATATATACACCAAGACCAGCATATAAGGACTAGGAATAAGACCAGTTTTCAGTATTTATGAGCAAATTGCACTGTAAAGTATTGGAATTGTAAAGTCAAGACCTGGCATTCCTGGGGAGTCCTTGTACAGCTGGGTGAAACCACTCCCCGCCAGACTCTGGATAGGGGGATCTGTGTTACCCACTAGCAGGAGTGATCCCAACCTAATTTCCATCACACCATCCTTAATGGCAGATAAATACGAGTCCAAACAACATGGGATGGCACAGAGCCTACCCTGCTTTCTGTCAAGTTGGAAGAACCTTATAAAGGCCTTATGTTAAAAAATGTCTCTGTGGGTGACACTGTTTAAAATTAATATGGCACGTTTATTTACAGTTTTATTCATTCAATGTTCACAGTGGGTCCCCCTTTCTCCCACTGCTCTTTGGGTGCCAAGGTTAGTGCTGGAATCAGTTCTTCAAGATGCTGGAAGCTGCCCATGCCAACAGCTTTCAGAGATGGGTGGAAATACCAGATTTTGACACACAGGTAATAAAAGATGTGACCACAACGGACCAAACCTTCTTTTCTTGCTCAGACAAAACTCTCTCTTAGGTTGTTTTATGATTAGGAACATTTTTGTAATTTGATGCATCCCTTTTTGTCTTTTCTAGTCTTTCTTCATGACAGATTCTGCCTTCAGGCTGGAAAAGGCAAATGTGGGGGAATTTTTTGCATGGTAAGACCTACAAAAATGAGGCATGCCAAAAGGAAACTAATGTAAATTATTTAGTTATACTACCTTTAGTTATATTTACTTGTACCTATGTATATCAAGTTATGCTTAGTTATACTTTTAACTCCTCCCTATACGCAGAGGTAAACTCCCATAGCCCACTACTCCAGTTTGGAAATCACAGACTAAAACACTGGAGCAGAAGAAGACTGGTGGCAAACTGTGCAATTCACTTCATTCCTGAACCAGACTCAAAAGGTTTTCATGCTGCTCTGGGAAGAGGAAGGGTTAATTTGGGGGTTGTGATTAAAAAAAACCTGAATAACTCCTAGCTGCTCCACATCCCAAAGACACTCTGGAAGGGATGTCGAGTCTCTGTTTTCAGCATGACAATACTGAGACACAGATGAATGTGCACAGCTGATGAAATATTCATGTTTTCATGAGGAAATGCAGTGCAGAGAGTGACCTGGGAACCACCACGAAGTGCCACAGCATGATAGACACCATCAGGCTGCAAGGGAAGCACCTCCAGCTTGGTCCTCTTGTTAATTAACCTGTTAATTAACAGTTTGTTCCACCTGCACAATGCATGGATCTCTGTTAGGGGAAGGAAGTCCATTATCCCCCATCACTGGGGCACAGCCAGTTTGTGGCTGGCAGAGCCAAGAATCATGTCCTGGTTTCTGGGCAAGCCCAGGCTGCTGTTGATGTTATGGGGTCTGTCAGCTGCCTCTGACACCCACAGCCCCGAGGTGTCATGGGTTTGTGATCCGTGACAGGGATGGGTGGCTGCCCATATCCATCATGATGTCACAACAGCAGCTTTCCCAAGCAAAAGGCAAGCTGGGGAATCAGAGGCAATCCCTGGCACCGAAAGCCCTTTCATCCTCAGCTGGAGCATGTTTCACAGAACAGTAGTATTGAAAGCAAAAAATATGAAAATTTTTAAAAAATATATATTCCCTTTTAATTATAAAAATGTTCATTACATGTACAAGAGATAGGAAATCAGCTAGCGCTTACTCTCCCCTGCAAAACTGACAGCAAATCATTTTTAGCACACTAAATTAAAGAAAAGCCTTTCAAATTTATCATTTTTTTAATCTGACACTCTTACCCTGACACTTCAAATTCAGTTGCTCACAGGGTATATGTTTCAATATTTTTCCTTAGCAATTTGTAAATAACTGGCCCAAATAACACCTAGGTACGTATGTTGTATGTTGAATTTACCATACCAAGTATGTTAGGAACCCTCATGAAATTGGATTAGCCCTAATACAAAGCACTGGAATGACTAATCACTATGTAAAACCCAATTAAATAAGATTATAAGCATAAAGAAGTGTAAATTCCCTCTTATCAGATGACATTATACATCTACATAAGATAACCAAGTCTGGCTTGTTTGTCCGAAAAAGTTTATAAAGACTCCAGCTCTTGAGGATTTCCATGTAAACAGTGTTTTCTCTGCTCAGATGAACCACCAGAATAATCCTGGCACTCAACATGGGTTGAGTGTGGAGGCCACAGAAAGTTTTCATGTTATACTCACTGTTTCACTCTTCATATTACTGCTCTGATAAACTGCACCAGATGGGAAAATGTTCTCCACCTCTACAGAAACAGTATTTGTAGTACTTCAGAGTCATCTCTCTAATACAAACATTGCACAGCGGAAGAATTCCTCACTGGCTGCTGAACTAGTTTCACCTAATTTATTAGCATTTTGGTGGAAAGTAACACATGAACATTCAAACGCGCTAAAAACAAAGTCATGACAAAAGGTGACAAGCACCTGGTGGCAATGCACTGGTTGTAGTCCTAGGGACACTTGCCATATAGAATTTCAGTGAAGTTATTAACACTATAAATGTGTAAACCTGGGACACCAGGTTCAGGGAAAAAGCTAGTCCCCTCTAAGAAATATCCTGGCAAAAAATGTTACTGAGTTTTAAATGCCTCTGTGTAAGTCCTATCAACTAGAAATATCTACAAACCCACACAACTCTTACAGTTTTCTAATGTGTGTTTTGACGCAGGGAGACGGATTTACATAACTATTTTACTGATTGCTGGGGTTTGATCTGCAGTTTAATGGATGTTCAGCTAGGACTGGACCAGAAAAAGATACTTGGGCTTTCATTTTTGATAAAAAGAACCCAAAACCCGGAGGTCATAGAATCTAGCAAATTAACACTGTGCAGCCACAATCCCACCTCCAGTGAGGAAAAAATCCCCATTTAATTCACTGGGATCCAGGTCACAACTTCTTCTGTTAATATTTATTGTAAAAAAGTGCAGGCAATGCTCCTCTGCTTGCTCTCTCTCAGATTCTGGTCTGATTGCAAAAAAAGAAAAAAAAAGCAGAATTATGCTAAGAGGAACAGTAAGGGAGCTGAAAACTGGCAGAGGAGAACAGCAAGTGAACTATTTAGATGAAAACGTATTGTAGTATTTATCTGTAACTGACTACCAGATCTCTTAATACAAGCTTAAGCAAATCACCACATGTCCTTCTTGCCTTAAAATGAACAGATTTTACCGCCAGCTGCAACCTCCATCAGCATATTTGTTCTGTGTGTTACTGGTGACTCTGGGCATGATTCAACTCATACAGCTCAGGTTGTTTTCACTGTCATAATACTTGGCTCTTTCCCCTGCTATGATTTGGGCTTATTATTTATATTTCATTAGAGAGTGAAACATCACTATTGACAATAAATCCAAATCTCCAGTAATTTTGTAAGTTGAATACTCCTTTGCAATATTAAATTCATGCTTCAAATATCCATTCTACACCGGTAGAATATTTTAGCACCTTAGTTTCACACCCTTGCTGTTATTCTATTTATAACTTCATTTTCACACAGACCAGGGAAAGTCAGTGTGAGAGTCATTAAAACGTAATGAAATGTAAGACAGATGCACAGAAACCACTTCTTTTAAAGCCACATTTATAAAATTGCTTTAAAGTTACATCGTTAGCTCACTGTGTACTTCAAAATAATTAATTTCTGTATTACCCCCAGGTGCTTTCAAACCTGAAAAGAAAATTACAAACACGTCCTGACACTCCAAACTGCGACTGAATCCACTTCCATAGAGCACAAATGACAGCATTTAAAACCTGGGCTCACTCAAGTTTGTCACCACACACCCAGTCACTGACCTGTTCCCTGACGTCACATTCGTTTGCTCCACGGACACCCCGGATCCCACACACAGGAACAGCAGTAGGGACCTCAGGGCAGCCTTTCGTTCCATTGGGAAGGGAGGCAGTGGCTCCACACCCGGCACATCAGCGGCTCTGGTCCAGCTCTGCCGCGTGATGGGGGAGGATCCACCACCAGAGAAATCCTCTGTGTGCTGGGATTTCTCCCCAAGGCAAACACCTGGCATGTTCCAGCTGCTCTGTGAATGAATGAGCATACAATCCGGGGAAACTGTGCCGGGATGTGAGCTGCTTGTTAAGGAAAACAAAAAAGAAATACAATCAGATGGACTCTGAAATCACTCTGCAGAGCACTCCTCATCTGTACTTAACCCTCACCTCAGAGAAAGGGAACGGTGCTGCCTACAAATCGCTCTGAAATTTCTCCTTCTGTATGATAATCGGAGAAAGAATTACATGTATTTTCAAGACTTACAATACCTTAACCATACAGATGCGAAGGCATACATTGCAAGCTTTGAAATCAAACATTTGGAAGCAATTTCCTTTCTTCAGCACTATTTCAGTTTGTGTGTGTGTTCAGCTTTCTGGCTCAGTTGTTTCTATACTCAGAACGACAAAATGGTTTGGGTTGTGAGGAACCTTAGGGATCACCTAATTCCAAAACTTTTAAATATCAGGCAGGACACTGTCATATACCAATCTATAGGTATATACATACCCAGACACCCATTCCTTCCTTGCTACCTCCTGATGTGATCACCAGTGAAGCCTCACTTTGTTAACTAGGAGATTCTGTCTGTTGCATTCCAGATATTAGAAAAAGACTGGGGCTTTAGCATCACAGCTATTAGGAAGGATTTGCCATCTTAATTCATTTCTCCATCTGGGATACAGAGGGTATATCCGCTAATCTTAAAAACCTCCCAGCAGCTTGTCCTCAGCAGTACTGCTTCTATCCAATTTAAGGAGGAATAAAGATACTTATGTGAGAATCCTAGATTGAAAAATGGGATGAGGGAATGCAGGATTAAGCAATAACCACTTGAAAATAACCTCCAGATTTTCTGTGAAGCACCAGGAATGTATGATGCTAAACTCTGAAGAATTACTCCAGTGAGGAGACAGGAAAATTTCAAGAGGCAGAACTGTCACACACTCCTAAAAACTGTGAAGTCACTGATGTCACAGTCCTGCTCAATGCCTCAATACTTCTGACTCCTAAATAAGTGGGAGGAAAAGGCACTCATCATCAACAAAAGGAAAAATAATGTCAGTTTGCTCAGAAACAAAGGGGGGATTTGCAAACAACCAAGAAAGCAGCTAACACCAAATTGCTAATACAGGTCAAACCAGAATAAACCAGTGAAAATATACTGATTTCCTCACTATACATTAATACAATGGGTGCTGGTAGGAAATCATTAACCAGCAATCTTCTGAAATAATGATAGAAGCAAAGAAGTCTTTGCTTGCCTCTTGACACTTGCCAATAATAATAATAGCAACAATAATATTAAACATTTGATACTGTTCTTAAAAATGCTCACCACCTTGTCACCCAGCCCAGAGCACTGAGTGCCACGTCCTTGGACACCTCCAGGGATGGGTACTCCATCACCTCCCTGGGCAGCCCCTTCCAATGCCCGGCCACCCTTTCCAGGGTGAATTCCTCCTGATGTCCAACCTGACCTTCCCTTGGCACAGTTTGAGGTCATTTCTTCCTGTCCTGTCGCCACAGCTAAGTTTACAGCCCATGAGGTGGGCTATGGCAGGCTAAAAGTGGCCAGTATTCTACATAAGAGGATTAAACAGCTGTTTGTCACCATTTTTCCCCCCTCACTTTGCAAGGAGATTTTGCTTCTGATTACTCCTCTGCAAAACTCCTCCTTTGATGATTAGGCACCAAGGTATCATTTCTTTGTTGTTCATTTAGCACTGAGGCAACTCAGACATTTCCTCCAGCACCAAGGAGCACAGCAGACATTACTTTAAACACTGCTCCTTTTTTTGGGATCTACCTCTCAGAAAAGGTAATTACACTCACTTCAAAGTGATTATATTCAGCGTGGAGGCTCACAGTTTGGTGAGGTTGTGAGTGTTGGCTCTTCGGGCATACAAACTCATTTCCAGGGGTTTGTAGTTAACCTTCAGCTCACATGTCAGGTCACCATGAGCTGAGCAGCTTTCTATATCAACATGTCTCAAGCAAAGTGTGAGGTATCAGACACCTTACAGGTGTCAGCACTGAATGTATCACTCACCTTTTCAGTCTGAGTCATCGTTGCTCCTCTGGTGCAGATGTGTTCACAGAGCACTGACAGTGCAACAAAACCATGGGCAGAAGATTCACCCTAAAACACAGACAAAGCTTTTCTCAGCTCCAATAAAATCCTCTCTCTGGGCAACTGATTGGGCCAAAAAGCCTTTCAGCTTTTTTCTGGGATGGGATGCAGGAATTAATCCTTACAATTCTTTCCGGCTTCCCTGTGAGAGTGGAAAGGTCCTGGCACAGGTTGCCCAGAGAAGCTTTAGTGCCCCATCCCTGGAAGTGTCCAAGCCCAGGCTGGATGGGGCTTGGAACAACGTGAAATAATGGAAGGTGTCCCTACCCATGGCAGGGGGTGGGGCTGGATGAGCTTTAAGGTCCCTTCCAACCCAAACCATTCTGGGATTCAAATTCCCTCCTCTCCCTGTGCCCTTCACAACATCCCCAAAGGATCTCATCCTAGCTCGAGAAACCTCCATACAGACTCCAGGCCTAACTTCACCTATAGGGAAGGGGCAGGGGGAAAACCGTGCCAAAAAACAAACAAACAAACAAACAAACAACAAAAAACCCAACCAAATAAAAAGCTCAGTCTGTTCAGGACCTGGCTGCCTTTCGTCATGCAGCACCACAGGACACCAGGCACCAGATCTCACAGGGAAGATCAGATTATACCAAGAGTTTTAAGATAAGTGGTGGGATTTTTGGTGGATTTATCTGCTTGGCCAACTGAAACATTTAATTTTAGAAGTGCTTATCCAGCAGTGCTGGTGTTCTCCACAGCAAACAGCACTTTTCCACATAGCTGCCCACAGAGCACGTCGTTCCAACCTCCTCCACGGGCAGGGGCCCCTTCCAGCAATATATATCTTGTGGCCACCTGTGCCAGCAATCAGTCATTGTGTTTAACTATTATTACTATTGTTATTATTATATTTGTGTTAGTATTATTAATAGTATTAATAGTTGTTGTTGTATTTCCATTATTAAACTACTCTTATCTCAACCCACGGGTCTTTTTTGTCCAAATTCCCTCCCCATCCTACCAGGATGGGCAGGGCAGCGAGCAAGAGGCTGTGTGGTGTTTAATTACCATCTGGGGTTAAACCAGAACATGGTGGAATGAAGAAAAGCTGTCTTAGAAGTGCCCCAAAGTCCTCATACAGTTTAAAAAGAAAGCGCAAATCCTACAGGAGCTTCATCTCAAACCACCTCTCTCCTAGATCTCTATGTCTTGATGAATATTTGTGCAATAAGTGCCAGTTTGTTACAGAATATTCATGTCATATTCATCACTTTCCTTCCTTCCAGTCAACTTTTAAGTATTCCTAATATTCCTAACACCATAAAACAAAGCTGCAGCACTGTTACAATATAAAGTTCCCTGGTTTTAAAATCACCAAACAGCAACTGCATTCCGACATTGGAACTGCATCTTCAAGAGCTGCTCTTTATAATAGTAATGTTTTCTCCTCAAATTGTTATTGGGATTTACAGTTTTTGTTCGGGGTTGGTTGGTTTCTTTTTTTCTTTAAGGGGAGTGTGTGTGGGGGGGGTGGGTTTTTTTATATGCTTTTGTTATTTATTCTATACAGATTGCATGTAAAACCAGCCCTACCTGAACACACAAAACATGTATTTTCTATTTAAGCTATGAGCACAGGATGTGTTAAGAAAGATGTATTTAGGTCTAATTGCTGCCCGTTCACAGTAATTCCAAATAGAGGAGGGAATATTCAGGAGCCAGACTGTGCAGTTTGGCAGCAGGGACTACCAGCAGCTTTCAAAATCTGCTTTGGTGCAGATCCACTGGAGGACTCACAGGCAATGCAGCAATTTAAGCTGGGATGCCCCATCCCTGGAAGTGTCCAAGGCCAGGTTGAACAGGGCTTGGAGCAACCTGGGACAGTGAAAGGTGTCCCTGCCCACGGCAGAGGGTGGGATTGATGGATTTGAGGTCCTTCCAACCCAAACCATTTTGGGAATCTATGAAAAGCTGGAAGTAAGACTCACAGAGTCAATTAGGCTGGAAAAGCCTACTCAGACCATTGACTCCAACCATTCCCCAGCACTGTTAGGGCCACCACAGACCCATTTCCCCAGGTGCCACATCCCCAGGCCTTTTAAATCCCTCCAGGGGTAGGGACTCTACCCCTGCCCTGGGCAGCTGTGCCAGGGGTAGACAATCCAATATCCCACCTAGACCTCCCCTGGTGCAACTTGAGGACACTTCCCATTGTCTTATTGCTTATTACTTGCAAGGAGACTCTGACTCCCTCCTCACGGCGGTCTTTTCAGGCAGAGGTTAATGACCAGCAGTCCCTCTGTGTGGGTCAGACACTCTGGTTCCACTGTTCCACTTCCAAGAAAAGAACAGGCCCAACCTCGACTCGTCCTTGGGAGCAAATAAGGACAAAACAAACTGTGGTACCATCCCAAACGACCCCCAGAGACCCACTCCCGAACATGTGCAATAAGCCCCATGCAATTAATTAATTAGCATAAGGATACGGCCTTTTGGAACAGGCATGAACTCCTGGGACATATTCATGGAGCAAATCACATATAAACTGCAGAAGTGCATCTGGGTGTGGATGACAGGCAGGAAGGTGTCCCCGGGGATAAATTAATGACTTTTTTTAAGCTACGACCGGTCTCAAAGTTTTCTCTCCCGCTCTTACGTCAAAGCGGGGCTCGGTCGGGCGGGGCGGGGCGGGGGAGGCGAGTCCTGCCCGTCCGCCCCACGGGGTCTCGAACCCGCAGCCCAAACTCCCGCCGGGCCGCCGCCGCCGTGCCGGTCAGCGTGTTTCCGTCAGGCGCGGCGCGGGCAGCCCGCGGCGGGTCCTAGCGAGTGCGGCTATAGGCGGCGTTCGCGGACCGCCTTCCCTCTTTTCTCGCTCGGCAGGCGCAGGGAGAGGATGGGTGAGCGCGGGGAGCGGGGCCGCGGCTGGCATCGGGGCTGGGTTTGGGACTGCGCCATCCCGAGCAGGGTCCGCGGGGCTCTGCGCTTCCCGCCCGCAGCCGGGTGGGTGCTGTGCGGGCAGAGCTGAGGGCGGTGGGGCCGCGGCCGCCATTACCCGCCGCGTGTCCGCCATTGCCTCTCGCGGCCTGGCCCGCATCATCCTCCCTTCCCCGCATCATCCTCCCTTTCCCGCATCATCCTCCCTTCCCCTCGCTCCCCGCAGGGAAGTGCAGAGGCCTCCGCACGGCTCGGAAGCTGCGCAGCCACCGCCGCGACCAGAAGTGGCACGACAAGCAGTACAAGAAGGCGCACCTGGGCACGGCACTGAAGGCCAACCCCTTCGGCGGCGCCTCCCACGCCAAGGGCATCGTCCTCGAGAAAGTGTGGGTGCACGAACGGGGTCGGGGGTCCACAGCCCCTAGAACGGGGTACAGACCCTCTGGGATACGGGTCCAGCGTGCTGGAATGAGGCGCTGAGACCTCCGGGATGGGGCTTCAGAACCCCCCAGATGCAGCTCCTGTCCTGGGATGAGGAAAACCAGAATTTATTTATTATTAAAGAATTGGACGAAAAACAGGAATTTCTTGCTAAAGTTGGTAAAAAATACGGATATTAAGTAAAAATTAAGGGGAATTTATTGAAAGAATTGGAGAAAAAAAATAAAATTTATTCCAAAAGTGGGAGAAAATAGGGAACTTAGTCAAAGCTTAAAGAAAAGGCGCCTTTTCTTTTTTTTTTTTTGCATAAATGGGGGAAAACCAGAATTTTGACACAACATTAAGAAAAACTGCATGTCTTGTGTCAAGGATCCTACCCACTTTTGCGTTTGTTTTTTTTTTCTTTAATAATTTATAAGCCTTATGGGGATGCTGCAAGGACTCTCTCTTCTGACCAGTATTTCTAGTTTTTGGAAGGTTTTCCCCTCTTTTTTTATGTTTTTTCAAGTTTTTAGTGAATTTGCATTAGTCTTTAGGTGATTAAAGTTTTACTCTGCTTAGGAAGTGGTGATCTATATATTGATATATATGTTCATTTATAGATAGTACATTATATAGTGATATATGGTGTTATAGTAATTAAATATTCTGTATTTATATATTGAGTGGCTGAAACCAGCTCAGAGTTTCTGAAGTACAGAATCAGCTTAAACATAAGGGAAAATAGTAACCTGTGGGTGTGTAACAAACCTCCTGGTCCATCAAACAGATGGTATTTTCTCTGATTTATTTCCATTGCAGTGGAGTAGAAGCCAAGCAGCCCAACTCTGCCATCAGGAAATGTGTCAGAGTCCAGCTGATTAAGAACGGCAAGAAAATCACAGCTTTTGTCCCCAATGATGGTTGCCTGAACTTCATCGAGGTAATTTGTCTAGAAGTTGTATTTTGCAGTGGAAAATAAAGACATTTACTCAGTTAATTCTCATTTAATGTGTGCAGATCCAATCTGGGGTGGTTAGACAAGGGCAGTGTGGAGCGTAGCCCAAAATAAGGGTGGTTAATCACAGATTTGTGCACGGATCTGATAATTTTTCAACCCCCAACCCGGTTTTGGTTTTTGCAGGAGAACGATGAGGTGCTGGTGGCTGGGTTCGGGCGCAAGGGCCACGCCGTTGGGGACATCCCAGGAGTCCGCTTCAAGGTGGTCAAGGTGGCCAATGTGTCCCTGCTGGCATTGTACAAGGGCAAGAAGGAGAGACCCAGATCATAAAACCATGTCCTGACAAGATGGTCAATAAAATCCTTGTTCTCAATGAGTTCTGTGCTTCTTACTGAGGGGGGGGCTGGAGTCAGACATAAAACTGTGCCCACAGAAACCAAAATTTCATTTATTTCTACATCTGGCCAAAAAAACCCACCCCAAACTCTAGTGTTTCTCTGGGACTACTGAATTCATCAGGAATCAAAACATTCCCTTGAGCAAGCTGGGAGGGAGGAGAAGCTCCATGAATTTTAATGCATAATAGTGAAAAATGTGAGCCTTCCCCAGACTGAGAATGGTCACTGTGAGTGCTGGAAACAGTGTTTGTGGCAGCAGTTCTGGTCCATGTTCTGGACACAGAACTTGATAGGTTTGAGTCCTGAAGGGATTATTGAACCATGTATCCGGTGTCAGCCCACAATTTCAATGAGCATTAAGCACGAATTAACTTAGGTTTTTTTGGGCAAGTCTGCCCGATTTGAAGGCAACCCTTCAGTATGCTCTTAGCATTTCACTGCTGTGCAGTCAGCTGGGTGTCTTGAGCTGGGCTTTCTGCTGCCTTACCTATATAAAATACATAAAAACAGGTTTGGGCATTTTTTATCAGTGCAGTAAAGCTTCAAAATATGTGACTGAAGTCAGAGTGTGCACAGCTCCCATCTTGCCATCGAAGTTCATCTGTGTGTTGACCAAAAGGCTCAACTGCTTCAACTAGTGTTCATTTATGTAGACATTCATATGAAAATTCAATAACTTACATGAAAATGGAGTAACAATCTAATAACACGTTCAGGGTCTGCTGGCATTTGTGTAGGAAAAGGGTTAGGGTTAAAATTCCTTGGCGGGGGGGGAACAGGATAGTGACTGCCAACCCGTCAAGTTCTAATCTTAAAATTCCAAAGACGAAGATTCAAAGGGAGCTGGAGCAGCTTCCCGAAGTCGGGCGCTGTCGTGATGTCCGTCACCACTAGATGTCGCGACTGGTATACGGAGGGGAAAATCCAAAACAGAAAAGGTTTGAGCTAAAAAAGTTGTGGACTTGGAACAAAGGAAATCTTCAAAATCGGAAAATTCACTGCGTGCACACCCAAACTGTGCCTCCACAGAGGAAAAAGAGGTTTTGGGGTGAACTCACTTGGAACAGGGAAGAGAAGAGCACCAGTTTGGTTGAATGTGGGTTTTTTTGTCTGTTTTTAACAAAATTCAACAAATCCAGCTCTCAAGCCCTGTGGAGCCATAGCCACACAAGTGAGTTTCCCAATTGGAAGATTTCCTTGGTGTTGTGGGGGCGAGGCTGGACATGGCCCAGCACAGAAACCCCCCATGCCCACAGCGGGGGCAGCAGGGCAGGGGGGGATTCTGCCCCTCTGCCCCCTCAGGTGAGACCCCACCTGCAGAGCTGCCTCCAGCCCTGGGGGCCCAGCACAGCAAGGACATGGAGCTGCTGGAGTGAGTCCAGAGGAGGCACCAGGATGATCAGAGGGATGGAGCAGCTCTGCTGTGAGGAAAGCTGGGAGAGTTGCGATTGCTCAGCCGGATAAGAGCAGCTTTGCAATGACCGAATTATGGCCTTCCAGGACCCTGAAGGGGCTACAAGGAACATGGAGAGACACAGTTTACAAGGGCCTGGAGTGACAGGACAAGGGGGAATGGCTTCCAACTGACAGCAGGGTTAGATGAGATATTGGAAGGAATTCTTCCATGTGAGGGTGGTGAGGCCCTCAGGTTTCTCAGAGAAGCTGTGGCTGCCCCATCCCTGAAAGTGTCTAAGCCCAGGCTGCACAGGGCTTGGAGCAATCTAGGATAGTGGAAATCATCCCTGCACAAAGCAGGGGGTGGGACTGGATAAGCTTTAAGGTCCCTTCCAATGCAAACCAGTCTGGGATTCTGTGAGTGTTTCAGTGCCCATGAATAACTTGTGTTGCCTGGACACTACAGAAAGAAGTCAGACAAAGACGAGCTGAGCAAAACCTCATCACCATGTCACTATTAGAGGGGTTTTAAGCCTAATAAATATGTGTTACATAACCCATATCCTCCAAAATGGAGGGGAATCCATCCACAAAGATCAGAGAAGACAAGCAACTCATGCAACAGACACAGCTGTCCACGTTCCTGTCTCATCAGCAAAGCTAATTAATATTTTCTAATAATAAAGCAGTTGGATAATCCTTTGACACCAGCAATACCTGTCTGAAAAATAACATTACTGCAGGAAAAGACGCTGTTTTCCAACGGGCTTGAGGAAAAAGAAGGCATCCTGTAAATCCATTCTCTGTTCAAACACAGCAGTAAAATCCTATCTCGCCTTAAGCTGAATTCATCTTCACTAGGTGACAGCTACAACAAGCTCTGAAATGGTGGAGAGAAAGATTCTCATCGTTCAGGGTTTTTTAAGATTTTAATGAAATCCATAACACAGAGATAACAGGTACGACACCTTCCTGAGCACTTAATATAGGGGTTAGCTTTGCAGTAGCAAGCTTCAGGTAGGGTTTAATTCTAGGTGGTAAGAATTTACTGCTAAGAAATGCTCTAAGCTCACAGAAACACTTTTAGAAGCCCACATTACTAAAAATAGGCACAGATACCCATACACACACTGCTCCCTAGAAGAGAGAATTTTTGAGGAAACAATTGTAGCTTCACCGTTCAGAGGGAAGAGCAAACATCCTTCCTCTGTGCTGGAACTGAATTTATATGTATATAATATAAACACAGATGTCCAAAAAACCTCATGAAACCATCACCACAGCAAATAGAGGGGGGGGAGGGGTGAAGTTACTGAAAGAGTTTTGGTGAAATTCATGGAGTTGTAACAAGAATTGATTACATCACTGTATTTAGCTGTAATTAACTAGCTCAACATTTACTGCATGGAAAGGAATGTTCCTGTTAGTAACCAAAACCAACTACCCTCAAATCTCTTGGCAGGGGGTTGAATTCTTACCTGGTCATACTGACACAAATGAGGGATTATGTAGGTAGTGAGCAGCTGCATTCCACAGGAAAGCACATTTTTTGGCTTAAGTGAATACGTGAAATTAATTCTTCTTGCTGATTCTTGTAACCAAGGGTTACAAGAGTCTGTTCTCTTAAAAGAAGTCCCCAGAAGCAAAGGTCCTCAATGTGTCTTCCCAGATTAGCAAGGATGAGCAACTGAGCAAATTTACAAAATTCTCTGGAACTGGAAATTTTTTCTTCGTAAGCAGGTAATGCATGTAGACAAAACTCAAGTTCAGATTTAAGAATCTCCAGTAGATTTGCTAAATAAAATCATAAAATAGTGCCACAATTCACTTGATTTTAAAAATTCTAAAATATCAGAATTTTGGTACATAAAAATTCTGTTAAAAATATCCTAAGTCATCAAGGCATAAATGTAAAACACTAAATTGGGTGCCTACCTCCCAAATACTTACTTCAGCCATTAAAAAGGAGACATCCAAACAATGCTCTTCTTGATCACAAATATTTATGTTATCCTGCATTTCTTCCTCTATATAAGTTCAGTGTATCTGTAACTGAGCTGAATTTTGGTTTTCTACAGAAATTTCAAGGAAACATTGCTCCTTATGATGACACTGCTCTGTTACCTCGTTATTTACGGTGTTAAGAAGTTCAGAATCATTGATAATGGGCATTGAAACTTTTTCCATGTTAAAGAAAAAATATTTTTTCCCTCCATATATAAATTCTACTTTTTGAAGGTTGGCTGCTCCCACTCTTCTGTTCCACAATCAAGATCACAGAGCAGGGATGAACATTTAACAGCTCTTAAAACAGCTGTTACCTGGTTTTTCTTGGGTTTTCCTCCTGTCTAAGTCTCACTGAAATTTAAAAGTGGGTCACTGATGCACTTACCAAGCATGTGTTACCAGAAGTGTTAGAAAAAGCAATGTAGCTGTTGGTTGCATTTAACAAATCGCACATGGAAAAATGACTTTTCAGGTTGTTATGATCCAGAACAAGATAAACAATGTGCTTCCATTATTAATTCCAAATGGCTGGCAAAAGAATTCCATACCAATGAAATTTTAGAGATGCACTCTGTATTTCTTGTCCAGTAAAGACACATGATGTGAGTTAAAAGCCTAGAATCTGGAAACTGATGCATTCCAGGTTCCCATCTCTCATGTGGCACACACTGGACAAGTGATACATTGCTGAACATGTAAAGTAAAACCTGTGGTTCCATCTCAGGGCTCTGTTTTACACTACAAATAAAATGGGATGAGGAGAGGAGCTGGGATGGGTTGTGTGACGTTATTTGCAATGTGGTTTTCAGTGGCAGCACCACCATGCAACTCCCCAAAATCCAACAGCAGTGTAGGGACTAAACCTGTGAACAGCCAGGAGTACAATGAGAAACACTAATTGAGCAGAACAGTCACTCCCACAGGGAATGGCAGAGCTTCCTCTACAGGCCATGGAAAAGCCAGATGTTCTCACACAGCTGCATAAGCCACCTGAACTCCAGAACTGAAGGTGCTCACTTAGAGAGAGGCTCCAAGTTCCCTGTTTGTTATGATCCCGATCCTGTTTGTTCCTTGAAGTGTGACACACATGCAATATTCTCAGAGAAGCGTTTCTCAGACCCAGGATGAGGATTTTGTGTGGTGTGGGACATGAGGGGGGCTCCATCCACCCATCAGGCTGTGGTACATAAGGTGGTTCCCAGGTGAAGCAGTCTCAGTCCATGCACTGGGTGCCACAAGCTCACATCACATCCCAAAGCACTTTGCTGTGTACATTTTGCATTTTCCACCTCACAGGTTTTAGTTTTAGTAGATCCAAACCCAGCAACTATATCCTGTATCAAGGAACCACAGGCTTGTGCATCTCTGTGCAGCCTCTCGAAGGCCACAAGCACAGGAGGTAGTAGAAAAATTACTTCAAGGGCCAATACAGTCACAAGGGAGTTCAGGTCTTGATGGTGCTGGAGAGGTGTTACCACAACTGCAGGCAACAATTAAGCCTTCCACTATAATCAGTGGCCATTTCTTGCCAGAGAAAGAACCATGAACAATCATTTCCACACTGGCATTGCCTAGCAGACAGAAAGGATCCCTTTGACTTCACCCATAGGGGAGCCTGCAACAGCTTTGTAACAGGTCACCATCACCTGTCGTTCAGCTCAGAGTTCTGGAGAGGAAACATCACCAAAAAAAAAAAAAAAGATTAAATTGAAATCCTTGCAGCAATGATGCCAGATCACACCACCAACTGTGTACTTTCACACACCTGAGGAAGACCACAGGACATCAGGTGCCTTCTGGCACCCATGGAGGGTGTAGTGGGTTTGATCTGGCTGCTACCTTTCTTGGCAGTCCTTCCTGGGTCTTGGCACCAAAACTGAAATGGTTTGATCCTGGCAAGATGCCAGGGGCTTCTTAAAACCACTTCATTATCTTTTCTCCTTCCCTCTGCATCTGGACAGAGGAGAATTAAAAAAAAAAAACCATACGGGAATTTTCATGAGTAGAGATCAGGATTGAGAGAAAGGCCTTTATTAACAGACAAACAAACTTAGAGTGCAGATAAAACTTAGATTTATTAGTAACAGACTAAAAGCTAAACTCATTGCTAACAGAATAAGAGCTAAAGAGTAAAAGAATAAAACAGTCTTAAAACACACCACCTTCTCTCCCCGCCCCCAGTCTTTCTTTCTCAGCTCTCACTTCCACCCTAGCAGTACAGGAGAACAGAGTGGGGGGTGTTTGCAGTTAAAATTTTGTTGTTGTTTTCCATTCCTTGGGTAGCACTAGATTTTATAATCAGCTCTTTGCAGTCTGAAGATCTTCTACGGCTGTAAGGGGACTCTTATATTATCATAGTCTACCACAAGTGACAGAGGAAATAATGGCTCTAAGTCCTTCCCCTGTTTCTGTGGAGTCCCCTCCCATGGGACACAGTCTTTGATGGACTTCTCCAGCATGGGTCCATCCACCCCTCAGGCAACAGTTCCTTTCAATCTGTTGCCCCATGGACGACTCCCCAAGGGGGTGCAGTCCTTCATGGGTTGAGCTGTATTGCTGTGGGTCTCCCACCAGGGCTAAAGTCTTACCAGGGAAAACTTGCTTCAGAGTGTGGTTATTTCTCTCCACTGGCCACTGGCCACAGGTCTCCAGCAGGACTTCGCTCCAGCTTGGGCCTCCCACAGGGGTCACGGCTTCCTCCATGTGTCCACCTGCTCCAGCATGGACTTCTCCACAGGTTGCAGGAAGGTTTCTGCACCCTGAAGGTCTTTCATGGGCTGCAGGGGCTTCAGCTTTGCCCTGCTTCTGGGGCAGATGAGAGGGAAAGGCTCCCACCCCTGCATTTCCCCCCACCTCCGGCTGCAATGACTTTGATGACTGCTTGCTCTCTCTAGGACCGGAATTTCTTCTGCGACACTTCTGTTCCTCTGTTCTTAAATATGATATCACAGAAGCACCCTAATTGGCTCAGCCTTGGCTAGTAAGCAGGAAATCCCTTCTGGAGCTGGCTATCATTGGCTTTTTCATAGGACAGTGAAACTTCTAGCAGCTTCCAACTGAAATCACCCTTATGGCCTTATTACTACCAAAAACCCAGCTACCTGAACCCACGACAGAGGGTGTCAGCAATGTCCAAGTACTTCTCTCTCAGCACATTGCAAAGTAAGGAAGGTAAGCAAAATACTGGAAGGTGAGTCCTGGAAGTGAACGGGCCCAAAAGCTCAAAAGGAGAAGGTAATGGTTCTAGTAGTTATCCATCTGATCTTTGTAACACGAGGATGGAAGAGGAAAAGGTAGTTTCATTTTCTCTCACCTTTCAGCTGAATCAGTGTATGAATTCTGCTCAGGTGCTACTTTTGCATAACTCAGAGGCAGACTGAGGCCCACAACTGGGCCTACAGTACTGAGCCACAGAATAACATAATTTTTGTGTCTAGGGGGAGAAAAAAAAAAGAACACACAAAAAAGACACCATAAATATATTATTTCAACTTTTTCTGGATTTCAGACAGACTCAGCAGTCATAACTTCAGATAACTTCCTTCACTTTATCAATAGCAAATATATTTTAACTTTCTGTGACAACACAGAAACCTTACTCTATTTAGACCAAGGAGGTTGTTTTGGCTGTTCCCACTCCTCAGCTGATTTACTTTACCTGCACTGCACAAAGCCTTGCAAGGCCCAGCACTGCCTCTCACCTGTTGTGCTTCTCACCTGTTTTGTTTCCATGGGCCAGTCAGCACAGCGGAGATGAATTCATTAGTTCTGCAGGGGTGCAGAACAAAAAAGGGCTGCCCAAGGATGGGGTGTTCCTAGGAACGGAAGATAGCTGCTTTATTATGGCAGGAAAAAACCAGAAAACACACACCACATGCATTTGGTAAAGACAAAGCTGGGTCCAATTAATCCCCAATGCACTTTTTCTCACTTCAGAATCTAACCACATTGCTCTTCCACTGATAGTCATGACAAATTAGATATATTATACATATAGTACATAATTAATATATATTCTCCTCTCTTAAAAGGGAAATAAGATCACCAACCAGGTTGTGCGACTATTCTAGTTAAAATGTAGCGGTCTGCAAAAGTGACTCAAGTTACTGAAGCAGCATTGCCTGAATGCAAGTAGGCAAAGCTACTGTAACAAGAATCTGATCATGTGTAACACATAAAACCAATCTTCTCAGTAGAAAAGCTCTTCAACAGCCTTGAGCCCTTGTATCTTCTCAGGCTGGTGCTAGGAAGTATTTTTAAATTTTTATATATGTAATTTCTTTATTTAACATATTCTTATTTTTAAATTTTTATTTATACATTTATGCTCTGACAGATTTCCCTTGTCCAGATGCAGCCAGACTCCCTGAGTTCTGTGGTGGCATTTTACTTTAGCACATAGTAAATTTCTGGCACAGAAGAGAAGATATAAAGTCTTTGTGCCACACAGAAGAAACTCTTTATCCAACCCCTTGCCTAGAAACAAAAACCAAATCCTAACCTCTCATCTTCAGCAGGTAGGGCATCTTTAATACTATTAACTATTGATACTATTAACAATTAAATTATTACAGCTGAAGGACACTTGGTCCTTATGCTGAAAATGTACTCATGAGGATCAATCATTTTATGTCTAAGAGAACTATAAAAACTTCAAGAAGCTTCAGGATATACAAAAAAATAACGTTCAAAAAGTTTTGTTTTACACCACAAACAAATAATCTGCACAAGAATGCTATCATCTACTGTTGGTAAAAGTGAATTGTTGATGCAGTTTTTCATTGAGATAAACTAGTAGTTTGAATTAAAACACCCATTTCATTATCTCCTAGCTCAAACCAGCTTAGGGCTCCAAATAATTCCAGAGAATATAGAGATTGTGCCAATCTATATATCTGTATTTCCTAAAGATAGTAAAAAATATATAGAGTTGACAATATTTACAAAACTGTTTAACAAAGGGGAAAAAAAGTAAATTGTGCAAAAATTTCAGCAAATTCCCTTATGTAAGGAAAGAGTGTAAAAAGGCAGCACACATGCCCAAAAAGAACGGAGAAGGTAACCTGAGCTTTAAGTCACTTAGCACTCTGAACAAGGTATAAAGATAATTCCCAAAGCTGAATATTAATCCTGAAGTTATCCCAACCTGCCCCCTGGTATTTGATTCCATCCTGCACTTCTTGCTTCAGCAAATCACCAGTGAGTGACACAGGGAGGCCAACCTGACTTTTCAAAACAGCTTATTAAATTTACATTCTACATCTTTCTTCTTTCAGTCCTTCCTCCTCTCACAACATGACAATAGAGTGACACTGAAAAAAACTCCCAAACTCAAGAGTTCTATGCTATTCAAAAGATAGGAAAATGTCACACACTGACAGGAAAACCACAAAAGCACAGGAGTTTAAAAGAAATACTGAGCCAAGACCCATTAAGGAGGAGCCTCTAAAAAGGGAAAAGGCTGAGGCAGGGAAGAAGAGCTTGTTGAGCACCAGGGAAAACACTCTGAGACCATCAGCTCTGTTTCAGTCAAATCCTGAATTCCAAATCCTGTACATAATGGCATCCCCAGGAGGTTTAATGTACACTCAAGGTTAAATCACTGACACAAGAGCTCTGAAGAGGAAACACTGGGCAGCTGCCAGTAAAAATACAGGAGTTATCAAAGCCTTGGATAATTTCAGAATTGGTAATGGGCTGCAGAGCCTGCTCGAGTTTGGCCCGGGCTGGACCAGCCAGGGCTTGTTATTATACAACACCTGGACAGGCAATTGCCACTCAAAGTGCCATTAATTACTGCCCTGAGAGAAGGCTGGGTGTCTGTAGAGGGACAAACCCCAAGTCCTTCCCAAACACCATAAAAAACATGAGAATGAACAAAACTTTGTGCTGCATTAGCTTCATGAGCATATTTACTACTTGCTGCAGTCACCTGGTGGAACAATACCACTCCACATGCAGTGAAATGTATCCTGGGCAAAATACTAGGGCAGCAATAATACCCTTCATCTACCCTGATCCATGGACCAGACACATGAAAACTATAAAGTCCTACTGGGACCTTATGCAAAAAAAGCCCCAGTACAAACACTAGAAAAGAATCTTTACATTTTTAGTTTACAATTAATCTTTTTCCAATCAGTCATGTAGCAGTGTAGGTTGAGAATTTCAAGTCCATTCCCACAAGTATTCTATGCACTGTACTGCAAGAACCCAATTGCAGGTTGCCCACAACTCTTCTGGGCAGTAATACAGTGACACACAATTTATCTGAAATCAGCAGCATTATTCTCTTGGATCTGTCTATGATTTTGGATCTATCTACCTGTGAGGCTGATTCATAACTGCCTGCTCAGCATTGCACAATGGAGTCCATCACACATCTGCATATCCCTCTGAGTCTGACCCAGCTTTGATGGAAAATGAATATTCTTGCAGGTAGGAACTAATTCTGTTGAGTTTGAAAGTTCAAAATGTTGTTCCATTTATTTTCTGTAGAAAGTCCTCTTTACTAGGTGATTTCTAGATGTGTAAGGATGTTCTGTACCAGTTTCTGTAGCTGTTATGTCAACTCCTCTCATAAAAAAAAAACAACTTGCAAGAGAGAGATGGATGAGAGACATGAAATGTTTCATTGGGCAGTTTGAAAATGAATTATAGAATCCCAGCGTTGTTTGGGTTGGAAGGGACCTCAAAGTCCATCTGGTTCTACCCTCTGGCACGGTCAGGGACACCTTCCACTATCCCTGTTAGCTCCGAGCCCTGTCCAACCTGGCCTTGGACACTTCCAAGGAATGGCACAGCCATAGCTTCTCTGGGAAATCCCTTCCAGTTCCTCACTACCCTCCCAAGGAAGGATTTCCTCCCAGTATCCCATCTAACCCTGCCCTCTGGCAGCCCAGCATTCCCTGTTCCTCAGCTGTGCTAGTACAACCTCCATGCAGAGGTCGTGAGCAGGGAAATGTCAAGACATGAATCTCAACAGTAGCAAAGACTGGGCAGCTCCCAAATACAAGTCTAATTAAGACTAAAATTTCTGTCAGACTGGATTATGTCATTTTATCAAGCATTCTCCACGTCAGATTTAAACAAAAAATAAACATCACTTCAGGTAACACGTAATTGTGGGCAGTATCTGTGCTGTCCTGCTCTCCCCCCTAGCCAGCAGGAGTTTTGTTGTCAGTACATCTCCTGTAACAGCACCATTTATTTTCTCTGTCATAACTGCAGCTCTTCCAGAGGTAATGGCTTCTGTGCCATTTTCTCCAGTGCTACATTAAACTGCCTTCAAGCATCCATCACAACATTTATGGTCTCTCCATTGATGATGGTGCAAGGGATTTGTGCCCCAAACTGCCTCTGTCCTGATCTGTTTTGCATGATACTGCTTTGCAAAAATAAATCTGTGGAGGGGTGTCAAAAATTTAATGTAGGATACTACCAGCAAACCCCACATCCTGTACCAACTAATGCCAGACATTTTCCCAGCAGTTCTCACAGTCCCAGTCGTCAGATCAGAAAAAGAAGGTAGAACTAATAAAGTATGTCCTTGTAATCTCTTCCATGTAGGAAAAGGAAATAGTGATGTAATGAATAAAGAGGATGCAAGCTTTTCCCAGTTTTTGACCACATTTACTGAAACAAATGCCTGGTCTTGAGTAAGAATTCTTCTCTCAAGATTATACTCTAATTTATGTTCTTCATATTCACAGTCTGTCATCTTCTTTTTCATTCCTTATTTTTATATACATCAAAAATAACTTACTTGTCAATAAAATCCAACTCTACACAATCAGAAAGAAAGTAGTAAGATTTTTCTCTTCAGACTGACCTTGTGTCCCACAACCAGAAGAGTAATTGCACACTTGGAACTTAAGGCATGTTGAGCTTGAGGGATTTTCCTCTAATAACAGAATTACTTCAATGGAAACTCTGTTAGTATGGAATCAGTACACTGCAGATGCAACATTAAGGAACTGTAATTACAATCCTTATAGAAGATGTAAATAATAGTAATAAAGCTGTTGATAGCATAGTAATTGTATAGGGCTTCTCCATCCTACTGACTTAGGGTTACTGAGGAAAAATCCTTCCCTAGGAGGGTAGTGAGGGACTGGAAGGGATTTCCCAGAGAAGCTGTGGCTACCCCATCCCTGGAAGTGTCCAAGGCCAGGCTGGATGGGGCTTGGAGCAAACTGGGATAGTGGAAGGTGTCCCTGACCACGGCAGAGGGTAGAACCAGATGGACTTTGAGGTCCCTTCCAACCCAAACCACTCTGGGATTCTGTGATCTAACAGGTAACTTACTTAAAATCACCTTGATTTCAATTTACAAGCAGAAGCCAAGCCATCCTACTGGAATTCCTGAGGAATGTTTCTCTAACTTTGCCATAAAACCCAGAGAACCTATAAAATCCAGTAGATGAAGATGAAACAACTTCCTTCTGCCTGTGACAGCTGCTGAAGAATGGCTGTGAAAGTGCAACTACCACTGTTCTGCATTTTCTTAGACAATCAAAATAAATCTGCAACAGCTCCGAGCAGGCAAAACTTGAAGGGACCCTGATGAGACAAAAAAGTGCAAACCAGACCAAAAAAAAGCAAATTTCTGTCATTACTAAACCTCTCTTTGGAAGAAGAGGCTGCAAAGTGATTGGATTTACACCCTTTGCAGACAAGCAGTTGCAATTGCCCTGATGATTCAATGTCTTTGTTCCACATGTGTTCCCACAGACAGACCAATCAACTTCCATGACAAATTTTTATTCATACCTTTACTACCACCAACCCCACGCATCCAATTAAGCTGGATCCT